GCTCTCTTTGTGATAATCACAGTATAACATTACCTTAGAGCACCAAGAGACTTACGGAATCATGCTCTCTGATCAGAGCATTTTATGAAAGAGAAAACTGAACTAAGCCAAAAGCTCCCCAGCTAATTGGGAGGGGACACCCCGGCCAGCCTCAAGATCACTGAAGCCCTGTGCAAGGGTTTTCTCTCACACTGGAGTGTGACTGCTAGTGTCCTAGGTAGGTATCCAGAGAGAACTCATTTCAACCTTAATTAAAGCATGCAATTACTCAATTCTATGTATGTCTGCGTAGGCAGATAGAGAGACATAGGTTAATACAGATATGCTATAGGTAGAAAATCAGTATCATAAACTTCATTGATCTTGTTTGTTTTTAATGAAGAGAAGAATGAAGGAGAAAATAAAAAATGATCCCATAATCTCAGAGTGCTACTAACTCCTGTTGATACTTAAATCTTTATATTTGTAATACCTTTATCTCTTTTGTTTTAATAATGTAAATGTAGTCATCATTTCTTAACCAGTTATTACGTACCAGGTCTTGTCCTGGGTGATTTATTTAAACTTCCCAATAACCTCAAAACATAGGTATGATTAGTCTCATTTTAGAGAGGAAGACCTGGAAGGTTCTGAAAGTTTGCTTAAAAAATAGAGTAGGCCAAAGCCTGGGTATGGCCAGGTCAGTCCTCAAACCCAAGACAGTGAGGTTGGAGCTGTTTCTCCCGTCCCACACTGCATCCCCATCTTCCCTCTGGGAAATAAAACCCCAATTTCCTTCCTCATCTAAGACAGATACTTAAACCCTGTATTTATGAGGACAGCTAATATCCTAATTACAATCACTGTATTTAGATAAAGACTAAATAGCATCATTAATATTTAAATAACAAACTTGATTACAGTTTTAAATCATTTAAAATGATTTTATTTTTCAATAAGGCATTTGATTATCACCCTGAGCAAGGCCTGGGGCAGGAAACTGTGCTTCTCCTATTGTCAGCAGACTATCTTAGCCTCACGTGGAAAAGCAAGCACCTTAGTGGTTTTTCTTGTCCATTGCCTGCCCAGAATGCCTTACCCGAAGCAGAGCAGATTTGTAGATTTGTAGGGGAAGGTTGGTTGCACCAGGTGCAGCATCCTGGCTCCTTTTGGAAGGAACAGGCAGAGCTGTGAGGAGACTCCACTGCGTTCTTCCACGGAGGTGGCCCAGCTGAATCACTGGGGCTTGGCCCAGAAATGCGACTGGGATTCCAAGCATAGCCTCTTTCAGGAGAGGGACACAGAGGCAAGCAGAAATGTTTGTGCTCTTTCAGATAATTCATTCCTGGCTCCATTCACCCTGCCCCTGCTCCACTCCCTGGCTCCCAAGTCAAGGCAAGATTTCTTGTCAGGATCTTTCGCAGCCAAATCATATGACTTAAAGAGGTTTGTTGGCCCTGGCAGTTCCTGGAATCTTTCCAGAAATATAGCCAGAGGGCAAAAGTGGTGCTGCCAGTCATCCCCTTGGGATCCAAGCTCTGAGAGAGCAGGGAGATGGCTTTTCAGAGCTCCACCCTGCCAGCTCTGATTCACATCTGTGTTCTCCTCTCTGGGGAAGCTCTCAGGGTGGAGTCCAGAGGAGGGAAGGAAATCTTTGGGTCTGCTCTTTATCCACTGTCCCATCATTCTGGCGACTGTCAGTCTTTATTTTTTTAAACATTAAACATGTAAACAGCATTGCTTCATTTTTCTTTATAGAAGATAATTCTCCATTATGAAGAAAAAAAAACTTGTTTCTTGCTTCCAAAGGAAACAAGATGTTCACTTTTCACTTCAAACTGAGAGATTTCAGAATATGCTGAGTTCTGCCTTTCTGACTTGAGTTATCCTGTTTTTCATTTTCCTATTTTCCCACTGACAGAGAATGTAATTATTGCTACCCTTTTCGACTAGCTAGCTGACTCTTTCATCTAAAAACATGAATTATAACTAGAAAAGGCTACTTGGAAGGCCTGTCTATGGTAAGCTCTTGTCTGTCATAGGTAACTAGAATGCTCCTGGTAATATTTCCTTATAATTTTTCTATTGTCGTGTTCTCAGAAGCCACAATCCATCAATCTATTCAATTGCCTCTACTGGACAACACAAAATTCATTCCAAGAGACTTCTTTTTTAATAGTTTTCACTTCGACCATCTTATTTCTGTGAGCTATGCTGAAATGTACACGTATATACAACTCACTGTTGATTCCCAGCAGCCAGAATGTCTTAGAGGTGCCACCACCATATACATTTATGCATGTAAATATATACATACATGTAGATCTGATAAAGTTCATGCACTCAATTATCCAGCATAATTGATGCTAGGAACTCAGAATTGCTTTGAGGAATTCAGAATTCTATTTTTTAGAATTTTTCATAAATGGAAACATAAGTGACAGTTACGCTGTAGAATATAATATGTTATCCCTATATTAACTAGGAGAACAACATGGATGCTAATATATATAGCTAACTGTAGTTTGGCATTATTGATATTTCTTTTCTTTTCTGTGTTCAGCTTCTTCACCAAATTAAAATGCTTTGCAAAATGTGGCATGTTTATCCCCTTCATTCTCAATCATTTAGAATGTGGATATGCATGTTCCTGTTTCCCGTTTACTGAATTCAAACATAGAAATTTAAGCATGCATAGAGGCTAAGACAGAGGATAATACCTCTTGGTGTTCCTAACACATTCTCCCTCTAGAACCATTTTATTACCAAATAACACTCAGAGCTTTGTGGGACACAAAGTATGCTTCTTTTTTAAAAAAAAAATATATATTTTATTGCATTTTAGGTTTTGGGGTACCTGTGAAGAACATGCAAGATTGTTGCATACGTACATACATGGCAATGTGGTTTGCTGCCTTCCTCCCCATCACCTATATCGAGCATTTCTCCCCATGTTATCCCTCCCCAATTCCCCACCCCCTGCTGTCCCTCCTCTAGTTCACCCCCACAGACCCCAGTGTGTGATACTCCCCACCATATCCATGTGTTCTCATTGTTCAACACCCTCCTATGAGTGAGAACATGCGGTGTTTGATTTTCTGTTCTTGTGTCAGTTTGCTGAGAATGATGGTTTCCAGGCTCATCCATGTCCCTACAAAGGACACCAATTCGTTTTTTATGGCTGCATAGTATTCCATGGGGTATATGTGCCACATTTTCCCTGTCCAGCCTATCATCAATGGGCATTTGGGTTGGTTCCAAGTTTTTGCTATTATTAACAGTGCCACAATGAACATTTGTGTGCATGTGTCCTTATAATAGAACAATTTATAATCCTTTGGATATATACCCAGTAACGGGATTGCTGGGTCAAATGGAATTTCTGTTTCTAGGTCCTTGAGGAAGTGCCACACTGTCTTTCATAATGGTTGAACTAATTTACACTCCCACCAACAGTGTAAAATTGTTCCTATTTCTCCACATCCTCTCCAGCATCTGTTGTCTCCAGAATTTTTAATGATCACCATTCTAACTGGCATGAGATGATATCTTAATGTAGTTTTGATTTGCATTTCTCTAATGCCCAGTGATGATGAGCATTTTTTCATATGTTTGTTGGCCTCATATATGTCTTCTTTTATAAAGTGTCTGTTCATATCCTTTGCCCACTTTTGAATGGGCTTGTTTTTTTTTTTT